TTCCTTCCTTCCTTCCTTCCTTCCTTCCTTCCTTCCTTCCTTCCTTCCTTTCTTCCTTCCTTCCTTTCATTCTTTTACAAAGCCTTGAGATTCCCCAAGGGGTCGGTGGCTTTGCTGGTATCCACAAGGAGAGGGCTCTCTATGTAGAGGGTGATTTTGCTGGGGAGGAAACATGAGGAGGAAAACATAAGCTGCCGCCTTTCCAAAGCCAGAGGACTCTTGTTCAAGTCGCTGGCTTTGGAGGTTGGGTCTGGCACGCTGGAGGGGAAGCAGGCATGACTGGAGTGGGAGGGGTAGCAAAGGAAAGGAGACAGCAGTTGCAGTGGCTGTTATGAAGGTCTGGTTGTTCATTCCAAAGATATTGGATAAGAGGTGCTGAGAATACTGAGTGAGGATTAAAAACCCTTTCCCAAGGGGAGGTGGCATTCTGGTGAGGGCAGAAGATGGAAGTGGGCAAAGACTTTCTAGTTGGTCTTGACCTTCTGCCAGTAGGTGGTGGGGTTAGGTCCAGGGACCACACACACACACCAGCACACATACCCTCCTCCCCACGAACATAATCCCTCCCCCACAGAATCCAATCTTGTCATTGTATAGATATCTTCCCGAGGCCCATTTGTCAATAACCCCTCAAATGTCTAAATACCTAGTCTGGAACTGGTGTGGTGGCTCACACCTATAATCCCAGCACTTTGGGAGAGGGAGGCAGGCAGATCACTTGAAGTCAGGAGTTCAAGACCAGCATAGCCAACATGACAAAACCCCGTGTCTACCAAAAAAAAATTAGCTGGGTGTGGTGGGACATGCCTGTAATCCCAACTACTCAGGAGGCTGAGGCAGGAGAATGGCTTGAACCTGGGAGGCAGAGGTTAGGATGAACCGAGATCATGCACTGCACTCCAACCTGGGTGACGAAGTGAGACTCTGCCTCTAAATAAATAAATAATAAAATATACATAAATAAATGCGTAGTCTGGAGGCCTCCAATTCCCTTCTGATTCAATTCTAAACTTTGCAGCTAACACACAAGCAATGGTTCCACAGTGGCCTTGCATCCCAATGTTGCACTCTCTGTGGCCAGCGCTCCCTTTCCCATGCCATGCCTTTCACTTGAATTGTTTGCTTCATCTCTATGCCTTGAAATCCTGCCCAGCCTTCGTGCCTACTTCCTCCAAAAACAACTCTGGATGTTCCTGCCTGAAGGGTTCTCAGCCTCTTCTGACACCCAAATCTTTTGCTGTTCCCATGTCCTGTTTTGTATTATTGTTATACAGGTATCAACTGTGTTTTGCTGTGACTGGAGTACCTGCTCCTCAGGACAGACTTCTGCAGGATGTGATTCCTCTCTCCTTACAGGGCCCGGCTCTAAGCTCTGCTCTCAGCTGTTGTTCAATGCATGAGTGACATGCTCAGGGTAAGGTCATTTCCACCACAGCATGGCCCAGTTCCTGGAATCATTTGGCACCAGAGTGCGAGAGAGAGATGGCAGCATGATTAAGCCACTCTAGGTCAGAAGTTCAAGGACCAGGAAGGAGGAACCAGTAGGTCCCTTCTGCAGAGAAAGCTCTTTGATGAGACTAAGATAAAGAAAGCCCTAAGAACTGTTTTTTCTATTGAACTGACACTTGAACTGTCTCATTCTCATGCAGCCTCACTATTACCTGATGTTTCTGGATTATAATTAAAATTGGATTCTGGGAGTGACTCATGAGGGTAAATACATCAGTATTAGAACATTCCAACCGGGACTGGGCAGCTGTTGGGAAAGGACAGAAGAGAAGGATGCAAGGGTCTAAGAGCATGGCCAGCCAGGATGAGACCTGGCTTCACATTTTTATCTGAAGAAATAAGGCCCAGGGCTTTGAAGTAGCTTGTGCCAGCTAAGCCAGGCCTCAACCTCTGCCAAAGTTGATCTGAGAAGGAGGGAAACATGTGTGTTCTGAGAAGGAAGAGGATCAGTTAGCCATGGGGTAGCTTAGGAAGAAAGCAGGTTCTACTGGGGTGTGCCAGGTTAGATAGTAATGACCTAACCCAATCATGCTCTGTCCTGGGAGGGAAAAAGAGACAGAAAGGGTCACTTCAGAAAGATTCTTTATGGACATGGTGTACCAGCCAATCCTGGAAGAACCAGGACCCAGAGTGAGCACTGATTCACTGTTGGTCTGCAATAAACTCAAATCTTTGAAAGTAATATGGGTGTGTCATCTCCAGCTATGGAGTACTCCAAGGGGATCTGCAGGCATCTTGGCATGCAGAAAATCCATTTCTACACTGTCCTGTTCAAATTCTAGTTTCCTGACTCACAGAATCAATGAGCATATTATAATGCTTATGAAGCTTCCAAATTTTACAACTGTCGCAATATTAACTAGTACATTTACCTTGTCTCAACAGAACAAATTTTTTCAAAGAGAAGAAATGATATTGGGCTTCTAAAAGAAACAAACATGATAAAATTGTCTAAACTCTCCATTTGGAGCCTTCTCTCTACTCATCTACTTTTGTCTTCTCTGCAATCCACCATCCTTTAGTCCACACCATGAATGGAACATTTCTTCCCACAGCTCCCATGCATATCTGCTACAGGAGTAACTGGCCACATGTCACTTGGTCCTCTGGTCTAGCCTGGGTCAGATGTCCATCCCAGACCCAGTCCATGTGGTGAGGCTGCAGGGCCGTGTAATATGGATATGTTTTGGAAGACAAGAGGTCACTAATGCTAAATAAATGTGGTGCAGGGAGGGCAGAGAGACCTTGAAAGGCATTCACTATATTCTCAGAGGCAGAGCCCTTAGAACAGGCACTGTTGATGCCCTGTCCCATATTCTCCTGGCCTATCACAGTTTGCCAATAGCTGAGGCACAGTTTCCTGGAAGGATGACAAACTTCCCACCTCCAGTGAGTATCTCCCTTCTCCTTTGCCTGTGAGCTTTATCACACCCGTGATAGTTGCTTTTCTGCAGTTACATAGCCCAATCTTAAAGTGCATTAGAATTAACACTCCCAGGCCAACCTTCAACCAATTCAAGCAAAAGAGGATGGGAAGTGGAGATAAAGTCCCAGGTCCTATAGTCCTTAGGAAGATTCTAAGCTGTATCACACATTTCATGTGGTTTCTTAGAGAGTCCTAAAAGGGATTGAGCCAAGGTATCCACATGGTAACTGACTCATGAGTGAACCCTTTATCCCATTTCTCATTTAATTGGCTTTCTCTCATTTCTCAATTTATTTCTGCACTTGTGTTTCCTGGGATCACTTCCCAAATCAGTGTGGCGAGCTGAATAGTGCTCCCTCACCACCCCTTTGAGCTATATCCACTAAGAAACTTATGAATAGAATGTATAACATGGCAAAATGGATCTTACACAGAATTCAAATTATGGACCTTAAAATAGAGAGATTATTCTAAACTATCTGGGTGGACTCAGTCAAATCACAGGAGTCTTTAAAAGTAAAAGGTGTACTGTGCGCGGTGGCTCACGCCTATAATCCCAGCACTTTGGGAGACCAAGGTGGACAGACTGCTTGAGCTCAGGAGTTTGAGACTAGCCTGGGCAACATGGCAAGATCCTGTCTCTACAAAAAAAATACCCAGGCATGGTGATGTGGGCTGTGGTCCCAGTTACTCGGGAAGCTGAGGTAGGTGGATTGCTTGAGCCCAGGGGACAGTTTGCAGTGAGCCGAGATCACGCTACTGCACTTCATCCTGAGTGACAGAGCAAATCCCTATCAAAAATAAATAAATAAATAAAATGAAGGAAAAAAAGGAGAAGTTAAAAGAATCAGAGCAATATAATGGAGAAAAAGAACCAGGAGAGGAGCCTCAATGTAGTGTTGCTACTTTGAAGATGGAGGAAGGGAGCTAGGAGGCAGAGTGTGGCAGCCTCTAGAAGTGGGTACAGCCCTTAGCTATAAACCAGGAAACAACTGGGACCTCAGTCCTATAAATGAAAGGAACTGATTCTGCCAACAATCTGAATAAGCAAGGAAACAGTTTCTTCCTTAGAGACTGCAGAAAGGAATCCACCCTGCAGACACCTTGATTCTAGCCTATTGAGATCCCTGTGGGACTGACTTCTCACCTACAGAACAGTGAGATAATACATTTGTGTTGCTTTAAGTCTATGAATTTCCAGTAATTCAGATGGCAGCAATAGAAGATGCATCCAATAAGGATTTTGTGAAAATGCTGCAGTGAGGTAAACTGAGACTGTGGTGAGTACAGTGGGTGAGCAGAATACTCTACTGTACTGAGTAGACACCATAGTCTAGAAAAAGCCAAGTTGAGGAGTCAGCATTATTAACACATTTATTGAACAACTAGAGCTTAACAAGCACTTGCCAAGTAGAGGGGATAAAGTGGTGAGCAATGATAGTGATAATAATGAGGAGCAGTTTTCCCTAGCAGGCATCAGTTGAAAGAAATATGGGTTTAACATCCACCAATGATCAGGAGTGAACAGATCCTTTTCCAGGAGACTGAGTCCATAGCGGGATTAAAATCATCCCTGTAATTCTTCTAGCTTCCTTCATCCAAATTACTTATATCACAGAGGATATTTAGGGTATTTGTTCTGCCTAGAAATCTTGACTGTAGGAAGCCTTGCTCTGGCTGCACGATCACTTATCACATTTGTTGGGTGGGCACACATCTGTGCCCCATTGAGTGTGGCCTCTAGTCTCTTTCCAAGTCACAGGCCATGTGGGAACTATAACGTTATTCTCTCAACAAAGACACTCTGCAGAGCCACTCCAAGGACTGCTTGGTCTAAGGCTCTGACAATCAGCTGGAAAGGAGTCAATAGAGGTGTCAACTCCACAACCATCCACAGTGATCTCTATCCTGGAGCTGCCCTGGGAAGGGAACCTCAGGGCTACATGGAGGTTCTTCCCAAGGGGGAAAAATCAGGCTGGAAAAGAATGGGCAATTAGCCAGGGACTGAGGCTGACCATCTCCCAACTGCACAAATTACCGTATGAGTTATGTAAGTTACTTAATGTTGCCCTGCCTCAGCTTTCATACTTGCAAAATGAGACTACCCAATGGGGTGTTGTGAGGATTAAAGGACTGACACTCACCGAAGCCCATAACACAGCACTCAGAACATTTTAAGTTCTCCATTAATGTTAGTTATTGTTGTTCAGATTCCAGCTCTGTCGTTCACTAGTCATGTCTACTTTGTAAAGTCAATACACTTTTCTACACCCCAGTCTCCTTATTTGCATAAAGGGGACAATAAGGTGGCACCAAACTCAAGCAACTGTCCTATGGAATAATCGAATGAATATCAGTAAAGTGCTTCAGTGTGTGCCTGTAGCTTTATGGTTCTGATTGGTTGTTGTGGAGGGGGAGACCCTCAGCTCCAGGCTGGGCAGGGAGAAGCAGAGATGTTACTTCAGCCTGACGCTCCCCACTTTCATTAGCTAAGCCCGGAGTCACTGGTGTTTCCAGGGAATGATCAGGCATTAGGTCAGGATCCGGGGAACTCTCTACTTCTTTTGGTGTTGGGCAAATGGTCAGGGCAGTGGGCTCCAAGATCAAAATTCTGAATACAGGATACAGAGGCTCAGAGAAAGAGGCATGCAGAAAGGTGTAGATATGAGATCCATCCGTGGCATTGTAGAATGAGATCTCTCCAGTCTCATAGTCCAGGAAGATCCCCACTTTCTTAGGGGCTCAGGAAGTTTCAGGTTGGTTCTGGGCTCAGTGAGAGCCTGATACTTATTCCCATCAGTCAGCCCCATGGTCCAGTATCCATTCTCTGGTGTCATTTTGACCCAACCTTTTTTCCTCTCCATGTTCTTACTACACACCCCAATATGCCACTCTTTTCTGTCCCCCACTTCCACCTCCCAGTAATGTCTCCCTGATGTGAGGTTTTCACACCAAGCACACAGTAACGCCATTCAAATCCCTCAGGGTCGTCTGGTAGGTCATGGGGCTCCTCAGCAGGCTGCACACTCCTCTGGTCCTCAGAAACAAGGAGGATGGCATTTGCCGTGTCTGGATCCAGAATCACATCCGCTGCAGAGAGTTTGAGGAGGTGTCCATGGGGTCAGTCATTTTTCCTGGATTTCAGAACCTGAGCATGCAAGGCCTGGGCCATGCTGAGGAGGTCCTTCCAGAACCTCAGGTCCCTAGCCTGCCCTGAATGTGATTCTCTCATCAGTGTCATTGGTGAAAGCCCCAGGGGTCTTGTGACCAGAGGCGAAATGAAAGTAAGGTCAGTATCTGGCTAACCTAATACCCTGATGCGGCCTCAAGAAGCAACAAGGATCCTCCTTCTACATTTTTGTTGTTTCCCTCCCCACACTGTTCTGCCCACTGATGCTTTATACTCAGAGGTTAATTTTCTTTTTTTTTTTTTTTGCAGAGTCTTGCTCTGCTGCCCAAGTTGGAGTGCAGTGGTGAAATCTCGGCTCACTGCAAGCTCCATCTCCCAGATTTACGCCATTCTCCTGTCTCAGCCTCCCAAGTAGCTGGTACTACAGGTGCCCACCACCATGCCCAGCTAATTTTTTTTTTTTTTTGTATTTTTAGTACAGATGGGGTTTCACCGTGTTAGCCAGGATGGTCTCGATCTCCTGACCTTGTGATCTGCCCGGCTCAGCTTCGCAAAGTGCTGGGATTATAGGCATGGGCTACCATGCCCGGCCCTCAGACGTTAATTTTCAATCTTCACTCGACCACTCGTGAGCTAAATGTGTTCCCCTTTTCTGCAGTCCTATTTTTCCATATATCCAATTTATTTAACAAGGTGGAGCTTCATCTGAAGAATTTCCTCACCTGAAAAATGGAGATAAACATACAAATCTCTAGCGCTGTTTAAGGCAATCATGTTATTTACTCAGCCCACAGCAGGGCATGAAGGAAGCTCCTGATGTTCTAATAGCTGCAAGGCCATCTCTGTGCTGGGCTATATGTGGGGCCTTAGATGCCCCAGATTCACTCTCCACCTTTCAGCTTTCTCCACCCTCTTCTGGGCCCCAGGAATCTGTCCTTTAAGAACAGTGCCACTGGGCTCCCCTGTCCTTTGGTTTGCCATTGGGTTTGGCCAACGGGAGGCCCTGATAGGAGATTGGAAGGAGAAAGAAAGGAGAGACACATCGTTTAATTTCCTGCTTCCTCCCTGCCAGCAGCAGCTAGTGCTGTTCTAACAAGGCCTGACGATTCGATTCTTCTCAGGAAGCCCTATCTTTGAGCTATCTCTTTCTCTGGGTTCCAGTAACTGCCTCCTTTTCCTAGCCCTCGCAGGCTAGGGGTGGAGACAGCTGCCCACTGTTGGGAACCATGGGGGTACTGCACTTTTCCTTGTTGCTTTCCCTTAACCCTCCTTTCCGCACACCACCTTCAACCACGCAGTTTGAACTCATCTCTTTCTTACTAGGTTTTTGACCAATGCATATTTATTATTGCTTCAGTCTTCACATCAACCTCCACAAAACACAGTTTGCAAACATCATTTAAAAATGTGGAGCCCAAAACTCAGAAGCATTAAAACCTTTGAGGAGACACAGTCAGTAGGAGACATGGGAAGCCTGGGAAGGACAAAGTTCTTTGGGCAGGCATTGCCTCCTCTCCTTGGCATTTCCATCCTCACTCTTCCTGCAGTATCACTCAGTGTGTGTCTCCTTCTCCTCACCTCCACCCTTCATGTGTCTTCCTATCCACGAAGGAAGTCAAGGCAACTTTTCTCCCCCAAATCACAAGAGTTGGAGGAGGAAAAAGGCATATGGTCCCTCAGGTTGTTGGTCCAGGGAACATACAGTGATTTACTCACCAGGCTTGAAAAGGGCCATTTTCCATTCTGAAAGGAAGGAGACACAGATAAGAAATAGGTCAGTATTTTTGTTCTTTTCCACACTCCATTCTCCTTTCACTACACGTTTTCTCTGCTTTTCTTCAGAGTCTCTTCCAGGGTTCAGCTTCCCTCCTCTACAGCTCTGATGGATAAGAGGTGGCACCTTCTAAACAATGTCAGACTTGGCTCCCTGTGCCATGAGGGGTGCAGGCTGCATGGCCAGGCTTTGCCTGGGCATGTGCAGGGTCAGGAGTCTCTCAGAGGCTCCAGAAAAGCAGAAGTCACCCCCTCAACATGCAAAATAGAGTCTTCGGGTTAGATCTGATTAATCCAACTGAGAACATTAATGAGTCACAGCAGAATAAAGGTTAAAATATTCATGGCCCATAATCCAGCAAACTCAGAGAGCATCAGGCTCACTCACCATGTAGGAGGAGACGTCTCTCCTCCTACAATAACAGAAAGGTAGAGATGTCACCTGAACTCTGTCTTTTCTGTGTTGGCCCTTTCTGCTTCTTTTTGCATCCATCTAATATTTCTTTTTGACCATTTCACCCTTCCCTCCAGTCTCACTCTGCATGCTCAATTCTCTCTTCACCTCTTCTTCTTAATATCCAGTCTGGGAACATTGGCTGGATGCTAGTGGCAAGGCAGTCACTGTGAGAGTTCCTTCCCAATGGAGTCCTGCCAATCTATTTTGAATCTGTCTATACTCCTGTACCTGGGCATAGGTGTCACCATGTCTATACGCGAATGTCTAGGAGTACAAGATCCATCCTTCTCAATCTGTATCATTTCCTACCTTGCTCTAAAAAGAATTTGGGAAATTTAATGAACAACTTCAGGGACTAGTTTTTGATGCAGTTATAATAAATTTGTACCAACTGAGCCACTGTAGTTACTCCACTTTATTAGACACACTTTTCTCCCTCTCTCTTTTCTAATTTTCTTGTCTCTTAAATCTTCCATTCTTGTTTTCCTTTCAACATCCTCTAGATTATGGAAAACAACAAGTAAGTTTCCTGCCATAGAAAATGCACCTCATCCTTCTCTTCCCTCTTCCTTTTGAAGTGCACCCCTGGATTTCCTCAGGGTTTTTTAAGGCATAAAAGTCTGTGGCCCCTAGTACAAAGAGATTGAAGACTTTTTTTTTTCCAAGAATGAGAAAGATAGAAGAAGAGAGAGAGAGACTCCTTCCGGGGAGTTTCTCCAAAGTGCCACAGTTATTTTCTTTTCCTGAGTAAAGAGATCCAGGACCACTTTTCAAACCTGGACAAAGATTTGTAGACTGGAAAATATCCGAGGAGAGACAGTCATAGATTCAAATTCAGAGAAAATGTCAGAGCCACTCACGAGCCATGTGCTAGATTTTACTCCTCTCTGCAATGGAATGAACAGGGAAGGAAGAGTTATCAAGGCCCTCAAGGAGGGGATAGGAAGACATGCCTGGATCTCCTGGGGAATGGGAAATTACTGAGTTCTTCCTGGAGCTTCTCTGGAAAATAAACAAAAAAAGAAAAAAAAAAAAAAAGAACAGTTATGGGTGAGGGGAGTTTCGGGAAAATAAACCTTAAACATGATGCAATGCCAGAGTGAGGATGGGGGTGAGATCTTCAGGCTGGGCATGCAAGCCTGGGGCTTAGATTCTCTGTTCACTTTGGATACCTCTTAGGCTTATTTCCTGCTTTGTGGCAGCATATCCCATTTCTCTCATCTCTCGCTCTCTTTCTGTCTCCCTGGACAGAGCAATTTTTTCCTTCTGCTGTTGCCTCAAGAAGTAACTGGCTCCTGCAAGAAGCAGCAGCGAGATAGGCAGGGTCCCTTCCAGGGCTGCGATCCAGGACTGGGTGCTCCTGAAGAAGGGATCTACGAAAGGGAGAGCTGTGGGTCATGGGCGCTGGTGCACTCAGCCTCCCTAGCCTCAGCACCCCAAGTTCTAGCTCTTTAGCCCAGGTCAGGGGCAGTGAATCTGTCTCATGAGGTTAAATAAGCGTTCTCTTCCTAAAGTCTCAGAGGACTATAGAGAAGACTTTGGTAAACCCTCACTACAAGCTACTACTATCACTTATCTTGAGATGTCTGCCTCTCATATGGAAATTAACTTGAGCAGAGTCATACTCATTTTTTTCTAAATATTTTTTCAACCAGTAACACATTTACATCGTTCAAAAACTATAAATACATGAAGTCATGCAACTCTCTCAACCACCCAGTTCTCCCTCCCTCCCTCTATTAACTTCTCCTTAGTCCACTTAATATGATGCTTAGGGATATAAACTGTGGAGTCAGAGGGCATGGGTTTAAATGCTGGCTCCCGCTTGTGACCAGCAGTGTGATGTTGGACTACTTACATAACCTCTGTTTGTAGTGGTCTAATCTACAAAATGAGGGTAATGGTAATACCCATCTCCTGAAGTTAGAAAAATTAAATTAGTACTTATAAAGGGCCTGATGGGCTGGGTGCAGTGGCTCATGCCTGTAATCCTAGCACTTTGGGAGGCCAAGGTGGGTAGATCACTTGAGGTCAGGAGTTCGAGACCAGCCTGGCCAACATGGTGAAAACCCATGTTTACTAAAATTACAAAAATTAGCTGAGTGTAGTGGCATGTCCCTGTAATCCCAACTACTTGGAAGGCTGAGGCTGGAGAATCGTTTCAACCTGGGAAGCGGAGCTTACAGTGAGCCAAGATTGTGCCACTGCATTCCAGCCTGGTTGACAGTGAGACTCTGTCACTAAATAAATAAATAAAGTGCCTGATGTACAGTGAGTGTTACAAGATTGCTTGTTAAATTTTAAAACTGTAAATTAATAACACAGTCAAGAACTAAAAAAAGTTATTTAAAATATATTCTTATTTTTCCTCTTGTTTAAACCAAAAATGACATTCTATACACATCACTCTGCATCTTGCTCTTTCTGGATAAATTGTGTTTTGGAGATCTTTCCATATTAATATAGAAAGAATTATCTCTTTTTTCTTTCACAACTAGGCAGTATTTCCTTTATGGAAGTTGATCATCAGTAAGCTTCTGCATAGCTTCTAACCTTGTACAATCACAATGAATGCTGTAAGAAACTTTTTACAGGCTGGGCATGGTGAATCACACTTGTAATCCCAGCACTTTGGGAGGCTGAGGCAGGCAGATGAATTGGGGTCTGGAGTTTGAAACTAGTCTGGCCAACATGGTGAAACCACATCTCTAGTAAAAATATAAAATCAGCCAGGTCTGGTGGTGCATGCTTGTAATCCCAGTTAATGGGGAGGCTAAGGCAGAAGGATCTCTTGAACCCAGGAGAAGGAGGTTGCAGTGAGCTGAAACTGCACCATGGTACTCCAGCCTGGGCAACAGAATGAGACTCCCTCTCAAAAACAAACAAATAAACAAACACCCTAGAAACATTTTATATGGATCATCTCATACAAATGCAAGCTAATCTATCAGATAAACTCCCAGAACTGGAATTTTTGATAAATAAATACATAGTTTGGATAGATCCCCCAATAGAGGTTGTGCTAATGCATACCAAAAATACAAGTGACATGAGCAAATGACTGAGAGTCACTGCCTTCCTACATTCCTGCCATAGCCATGTGCTATCAAGCAAGGCAGTGTGGTTTTGATTTTTGCCAATATCATAAGTGAAAAATGATTTCCTATATATGTTTCTCTAATGAGTGAGAATGAGCACCCTTTTGTGGGTTATTTCCTTTCCTGTGAATTAACAATTCATGACCTTTGTTAAAATTTTTTACTCAGTTTTCAAAATCTTCTGTTTCAAGGAGATTAGCTTTCTCTATGAGTTTGTAAATATATATATGTTTTCCCATTTTGTCATTTGACTTTACATAAGGAACTTCTCTTAACGTTTTTACCCAATTCACATTACCTGTCACACTTTCTGTCAGGCAGGAAATGTTCAGTAAATGTTTGTGGCATGAACAGCTTTGTGGAGTGGGGAAGCTCCCCTGGAGCAGGGAGGAGCCTCCAGGTCCCTGCTTTGAACCTTACGTGTGGTGAAGACACCCATGTTGACCGCAGAGACTCACACAGTAGAAACTCACACATAACCCTTCATCACCTGTCACAGCTCAACTCAGTAAAGCTGAGGCCAAGCAGGTACTGACCTTCGATGGAAATGCTGGCTGCCTTTTCCAGGCCGAGGAGGGAATTTCTGACGATGCAGGATACACCCTCCCCAGATCTGCCTCTCATGATCACGGATGCTGCTAATGCTACAGGCCCACTCCATCTGCAACCACAGGTGCTTCCACAGCCGGGATGTTCTCTTCCTTGATGTTGCTCCACTGTATTTGGGGTTGGGGATACCACCCAGTGGACCTGCACTCCAGATGGAGTCCTCTATCCTCATAACCCTTCACTTCAACGTGAAGATCAGAACCCAATGCTGTGGAAGGATAAATTGGCCTAAATTCTTGAGAGCTCCTGTATCAGGGAGGGTCTTAATGGGAATCAATGGCAGACTCACATTTGATAATTCAAGGAAGATTTCATTCAGGAGCTATTTACACAAGTGTGGTCATGATGGAGAAAACTAAATGGGCTAGTGCAGTATCCCAGGGTCAGTAACAGTGGGGCTATTTCCACCCACCCCAATTACCAGAGGGAGGAGGAGAGGGAGCTGTTCTGGAGACATAAAAGAAGAGATTTATGGATTGAGGACATTCCTGAGTTGAGCTATGACCTTCTGCAAGGCAATGCAGCCAGCCTGAGGGTAGCTTGCAGGAAGAAAGCCAGGGAATAAGCGCCCAGACCTCTCCCTTCTCTCTTCCTTCTACCATTGTCTTCTATAGCTCTCCTTAAACCAAACCCAACCAGAAGCCCTGAGGCAAGGGATTGCACTGAGAAAGAAAAAAGCCATCCCAGACATCTGGAACCTGACACCAGGTCTTGGTATCCTCCTGCTGAACATGAACAATTTCACAAAACACAGAAAATAGTACTTTGTCACTATGACAGATCATGGGAAAAACAAGAACACCCCACATCATGTGTGAGTGCAGAGAAAAACATGAACATTGTCCAAACCACAACAATGACCAAACATCCCCCATCGGCAATGAGGAATTGCTGCCTCTTCATCAATTACAGCTTTAGTCTCATCCTAGTCTCCTTCCTCCTGGATAAGCTTGATTAAGGTTCCACTCACAGAATTCATCTCCCCACACCTTCCTGACAGTATCTCATCCAGAGCAGAGGGCTAAGTCTATAAACCCTTCCTGAAATTCCCTAACACAAACCCAAATTGTATACTAAGTCTGCTCTAACACCTTCTTACTGAGATACTGCCACAGCTCCCCATGATGTGTGTTCTTCCTCACTGCAACAAGTAAGAAACATGGCTCATTCTACTACAAAAATATCTCTGGGAGTCACTGATTGGAAGACATCGGCAGCAGATACAATCACTATTCCACCTCCCAGGGCCCATGGTAGTGTGCACTTGGAGACACAACAGAAGCCATCTGTTACGAAACTAAACCAAAATGACTGTGTACCAGTCACTGAAGAGATGGTTTCTTATGCTTCCTATCCCTCACCCTTCACTTCCCTTATATCTCTGGTCGCCAGTGGGAGGGAGTTGTTTACTTGAGCATGTAGGGTATAGCAGGGATTCTTCCTAAAGGAAACCCTGTGTCTTTCTTAAGGGCCTCAGAGAAGCTAAGTTGGAAGGCAGTGCAGACAATTGCTAGTGAGCAGGCAGGATTGTCTGCAGTGCTTTTGGAAGAGGAACTCTGCATCTGCTCTAGATCCTACAGAGAAATGTTCTCAGAACCAAACCTGGAGGCTCACCTGCAACCTTCAGCTCCACCAGGGCTTTTTCATAGAAGTCACCATCTTGGAAATAACACAAGTACTTTCCATTATCAGAGGCTGTAACATTGTATATTCGGAGAGCAG